AGGGTTCCAAGGGTCTCAAAGGAGGGTTCCAAGGGTCTCAAAGGGTTCCAAGAGTCCCATTAGAGTTCAATTATTCCAATATGGCCCCACCTAGGGTCCTGAGGCTGCGAGAATTTTGATAGAGCAACGGACAAAACACTTTTTTTTTTCTCTTTTTCTGGTTCGTGTTCGCGTACCGCACACATCTCTGTATACATAAAGCGAGCATCCCATCATTTCCCATAACCAATAATAATACATCTTAATTATTTTTTGTACCACATATTCGAGCGCGGACGATAACTGAACCTTTTGATCCAAAAAAAAAGCATGCTGCGATTCTTCATGAACTTTTGTACTCTGTTGTTCTGAACATGTCATGACCTATGTTTTTCACCCTCGCCATGACCCCCTACACACTCCCAAGCCTTCATCCCATAACAATACTACATGCTTGGCTTGGCTTCTATTCCCCTTTTGCTTGTTACTTGTCACAGTGTAAGAAAGGATTATGTCTCCCCCCAGATTGTTCAAGGGTCGGCCCGATAAAGATTTAAATTTTAAACGAGCGACTCGGAGCGAGCGTAAGACATGAATGCATTTCGTCTCAACCAGAGGTTACACCCTTGGCCCACATTCTCCATACCGGTCAGACTTTTTATTCATGTTCTCTATTAAGGGTAAAGGTCTAAACTTTCATCCATTTCTCTGTAAAGATCAAACCTTTGGTCCTTTCGACCAAATTTTTGCATGAAGGTTAAATCTTTGGTCTATATATTTTATGTAAAGGTGAGACCTTTGGCCGATGTTCTCCATAAAGGGTAGGCCTTTTCCCCATGTTAAACAGTAAGCTACATAACTTGGGTCCAACCCGGGTGATCTAACCATGGCCAGGATGAAGCTTGGGTAAAACTAAGTGGAGGTCCAAACCGACCGATGTTGAAAAATCGGCAGATGAGCTGTGGTTAGTGGTGAAATGCCACTCGAACTCGGAGCTAGCTGGTTCTCCCCGAAATGCGTTGAGGCGCAGCAATTAACTGCACTATCCAGGGGTCATGCCGGTCCACATTTTCCATAACAGGCAGGCGTTTTCTTCATGCTCTCTATTAAGAGATCGGATATTCCATCCATTTCTCCATAAAGGTCAAACCTTTGATGCACGTTCACAATAAAGGTTACCCCTTTGGCCCATTTTCTAGTCCACGATATATCTTTGGTATTCGTTTTCTGTAAAGGTTTGACCTTTGGCCAATGTTCTCCATACAGGTTAAATTTTCTTCTGTGTTCAAAATTACCAATGTTCTCCACAGAGGTTAAACCTCTCTTCTATGCTCAAAATTAAGTTATAATTTGGTCCACATTCTCCTTAAAGTCTCAGACCTCTAACGAGTTAGACACCTTTTTTCCATGTTCAAAATAAAGTTATGCTTTCGGTCCAAGTTCTCCTTAAAGTCTTAGACTTTCAATGGGTTAGACTTCTGGTATCTCTTCTCTGTGAAGGTTGTGGGCATTTGATCGAAGTTCTTTGGCCCATGTTCTCCATAAAGTTCAAACCTTTTAAGTTTAAACCTTTAAAGTTTGAACCTTTAAAGTTGAAACTTTAAAGGTTTAAGCTTTAAAGGCTTAAACTTTAAACCTTTGAACCATATTTTATTAAACAAGTTCCTCAGTGGATCATATAATCATATTGTATTGAATCTATTGATGTCATTCAATGATCGTTGTTGTCTTCCGACAATCTCCTTTGTCACATTTGCCTTACTCTTGAGTCTTGATTGATTGGTGCCTATGGGTACCGTCCTTTCACTTATTTCATTACCTCCAGAGGGTTGTTCAATATAACGTTGTGTTGTTGTTTTATCATCATCGCACTTGGCCGAGATATCCGAATTAGGTTAATGTTCCGCACCACATGCATCCGGTGCAGTTAGTTCACTCCTTGTTTGTTTACGTTCAGCTTCGACTAGATCCCTATGCTTTGGATGCGTAGTGCTTGTGTTGTGTGGCAGTCTTGCTCACATCCACCATTCTCCATCTCTGTCCTCACCAACTCCACACCAATCCTCTAACCTGCCCGCACCCTTCCTGACCAGCGAATAACATCTTCCTTGAAAAGAGGAAGAAAAAAAAAACATTAGATTTAATTTTATTGGGACATCTCCTCCAGCCCTTTGTGCCTCTACCCCATCCTGTTGTTGTTGTTGTTGTTGCCCTTTTTTTTTTTCTTTTTTTTTTAATTTTATTTTATTTTTAAACACAAGCTCCATCTATTGGTGGGGAGCAACACCTGCTGGAAACCGGGTCCAGCGTCCCATAGATACAACCATATCCTCACAAATTGCCCTTTCGAATAGATAGATATTGATTTTTTTTATTTTTATTTTTCCCTTTTACTGTGTTCGTTTTTAGTTGTGTTTTTTTTTTTTTAATTTAACTTTCTTATTGATTTTGAAATTTGAACACCTACTGAGCACCTTTGTTTTCCGCTATCTAGAAGTCAACAAGAGAAGGACAGAACTTACGGAACACTCTTTTTTGTTTGGTTTTTGTTTTTTCAACTTTTTTGGGGTAACACCTTCTGCTGCGGCCTACCAAAAAAAAACAAAAAGCAAACAAAAAAGCAAAATGAATACTCCCAACAAGAGAAGAACACAACTTATGGAATGCTCTTTTTTGTGTGGCTTTTTTTTTTTTTGTTAATGCATCCCAGCTAATAACAGCCCATGTCTGATGGGAGGTCCGCTTATGTGGTGGCTCCAGTCTTATTAACTGGGAGTAGCATGTGCTGGGAACCAGGCCCACTCACAATGAACAACTTGCTGCGTAGACTCAAGCTCGCCATGAAATGAGACCACTGGAAATAGCCAGTCCTTGGTAGGACCGCGACCGTGTCCCTCATACCCAGCTGAATGCAGTACTTGCGAGTGAGATGCTGATGGGATCAGTACCACAATTCTTTTGCCCGCACGTGTTTCGCAAGACCGATTGGCTACGAGATCAGTACCACAATGTCTTCCCCTTTCTACCTACAAATTACAAAATACGCTTGCTGAAGGCCCCTCCTCTTCCGCACTATTCTTGTTGCATTTGAATCAACGAAAACGATCAGCTTGTTTGTTTACTAAATTACTTTCTTTTTCTTTTCCCAAAAAAATTGGACCATTTCTCGATGATTTACGCGTGTCATCCTTGCGCAGGGGTCCTGCTAACCAAAGGACTTGTTTACTAAATTGCTAATGAACTCAAAATTAAATGAACTATTTATTTGGAAGTTTAGGGACCTTAGACACCATTTGAGGACTTTTTCTTTGGTCTGTTAAACCTTGGGAAAAAACAAAAAACACAAAGAATACTTGCCAGGAGGCCCCTTCTTCTTCGGGTATTTTTATACCTTTGAATCGACTAAAAAGATCAGCTTGCGGGCCTCCTGAACTGGGATGTTGCGCTGCACAAACAAAGATAACGATCGCGAGAAATATGCGAAGCGCACTTAGTAAAGCAGTGTAACAGTTTTTAACCCTGTACTTTGCACAAGTTTGAAAAACACTGATCAACAGATCGAGAATTCAAATCCTGCGACAGATCGAGAGCGAAAATCCTGCAACAGATTGAGAGTGAACATCCTGCAACATATCCAGGGTCGAAATTCGATACAAGACCATAATGTTAGGGGCGAACCGCTTCCGACAAAACAAAAAAAGAAAGCCTGAACAAAAAAAAAACAGTTTACCGAAACTTTATTCCCCACCATTGTTTACCACCCTCCCAAACTTCAACAAACCAGCCCTAAACCCTCAACCCCAATTTCGCCAGACTTATTATTCCACACACGAGTTACTATCACAAAGATATAAAAACATTCACCAGACACAGATGTCAGATACCCATTATCGTCGTTGCCCAATTGAAAAAAAAACGAAACCCTAATAAAAATAATGTGCATGTGGAAAAGTTGAAAACGTTTTGAGCCCAAGAAAGCATGTCACACAGTCAGAGCCATTAAAAAAAAAAAAAAAAAAAAAAAAAAAAAAGTTATGTCACAGCCATGCGAGAAATTTACTCAAGAGTCAAGTCACATAAATTGAATCGCAACCGAACACAACAGCTACTACGAGAAGTTCCCAGAAAGATTTGCACCATCCAACCTCTACATTGCCACTTCCTGAATGCAGTAAAGCCTGCTTATTACGGTTCTCGGGGAGGGCTCGATCCCTAGACCACATGCTGCTGTACCGAACAAGATAGAGAAGACTCCCACTACCTGAGTCTTCTGCACGGCTGATTCCATTCATCACAATGTCATTACAGCACCAAGCAAAGCCTACTTATTACAGTTCTGCGGCGAGGCTCGATCCCTGGACCTCATGCTGTGTACCAAACAACGTACAGAAGACTCCCACTACCTGAGTCTTCTGCACGGTTCATTATACTCATCACGGCGTCATCACATCACCACGGAAAACCTACACATTGCAGCACAAAGCGAAGCCTACTTATTACGCGTCTGGGGCCGGGCTCGATCCCTGGACCTCTCATGCTGTACCAAACAACGTACAGAAGAATCCCACTACCTCAGTCTTCTGCACGGCTGATTATACTCATCACGGTATCATCACAGCACCAAGTAAAGCCTACACATTATGGTTCTGGGCAGGGCTCGATCCTTCATGCTGTATCAAAAAAACATCGTATAGAAGACTCCCACTACCTAAGTCTTCTGCACAGCCGATTACATTCATCACAATGTAATTACACTGCAAACATCGCCCCCCTTAAACCCCACGCGCCCCCCCCCCCCCCCCCCCCAAAAAAAAAAAAAAAAAAAAAAAAAACAATAACAACCAAGTCCCAGCTACAAGGACCTCAATGATCAGGCAATACTTTGTTGGGACTTAAAAAATGGACCAATGGAGTGAGGGTTTGGGGTGCAGGTGGGTAGAGGTGGGTAGAGGTGGGTAGAGGTGGGGAGAGTGGGGTTGCAGGGAGGGAATCAGAAGCACAGTAAGTGGTCTCTTGCATCCACAAACATTTTAGCATGACTCCAAATTGTGAGCGAAAAAGACTATAGGGAACAATACACACCTCTTTGCTAATTGCAGTGGCAATAAGCTCAGCTATTCCAGTACCAGCCTGAACAATTCACCAAGACAAAAATTAAAAATCAGACCATATGGCTATCACCACATACATCCATGCCTACTTTTTTTCCAGAGATGCAACGAATCCAGACGACTCTGGGCGTGGAAATCATGTTTCCTTTTTCAAACACCGAGGGAAGGAAAAATGATGACAACAACCAAACATGCGAGAAATAAACAACAGCTGAAAGGGACATTTACATCCAGCGAATCTAGACATCCCGATAACGTCCAGGACTCAAAAAAAAATCAGTAGGGGAGAGAAAGACAAGATGGATATTGCACCTGTACCTGCCTGGTGGGGTTGGGTGTTACACAAGTGAAAGGATTCATACGGCTGATAATGAGTTCACATTGCGATGGACACAATCATCGTAGACCACCAGTTCCTCCCAGCCCCATTTTCCCGGCCCCGATTTGTGCAGAGCGGCCCCCCAAAAAATGAGGCAGCGCAGGCGCAAAATATTTTCCTTTTGCTATGGCACCGCCAGGTGTTTCGGGCCAATAGGCCGAGCCCCTGTTAAGGCAATGCGTTAACTGCTGCAGCGGAACCAAATAGCCAGGAAAGGGATTGGTGGATTAAGGGCTCTTACACCAGTGACAGTCCCATAACAAGTTCACAGCACCAGTATTCCACCCCTACATGGGTCACAGATGCATCAAGGGTGCCCATCTCAACTTGGGTTGCTATCTTCTCACTCGAATAGAACACCTGGTCATTATAGCTGTATTCGGGCTAACATTCAGTCCAGATGCAGCGAACATGACCAGGAATTTCTATTCGGGTGAAGACGTTAAGACATGCTTCCCCCTCTTCCCCTAGTGGCTAAACAACAGAAGCAGCCCCTTTGCCTGTTGGGTAGAAAAGAAAAACGGGAGAGCAAACGGCCGGTTTCCGTTCCGGAAAAGTCGAGTCTCAATCGAGAAGGAGGGGGAGGGGGAACCTCCGTGAGCAACCTAACGTCTTCGCTCAAATATATTTTACAGTAATTATCGCTGTATCTAGACAGAGAGTTACCCCAAGTACAGCTATAATGACTAGGTTCTATTCAGGGGAGGATGGCAGCTTCCGAGAAGAATGCCTTCCATGTGTCGGTTGCATGCATGGGGGCTTCCGCAGGGGGTGGCTGCACAATTTCTGGTACCCTACCCCAGGTTCCTCCTTGGTACAACAGCTGTTTATTACTTAATTACCCCTCTCCTCCTCGTGGTCTACGACTCTTCACTTTGCTGCTGTACTACTACCGTCTGCACCCGAGTAGAATGCCTGGTCATTATCCCTGTATCTTAGACTGAAAGACAGTCCAAATACAGCTATAATGAATGGGTGTTCTATTCGGCTGAAGATGGAAGTCTGCACTTGCACTAACTTTAGCACCATAGGGGTAGAGGCCTACATCTCGTCACTTTACCACCGTACTATAATATATATTGTCACATCACTACAAACTAAAAGAGCGCACTTTGCGGAACAAAGAATAAAAGCAAAAAACGGGCACAGTGATAACATGCAAAAATAAAAA